CACGAGGTAGGCAAAAAAGCACAGGAACTCTGGTCCTATAGAAGCCAGTTTCTAGAATATCGCTTTGTAAATGCTAATATGCTTACCAATCGCCTGGGATTCTGTTAAAAATAGATTCTGATTCAGTAGGCCCTTGGAGAGGCCAATACTCCCTTGTCTAACAAGCTCCCGGGTGACGCTACCATGGATCATGTTTTTAGTGGCAAGGTCTGGAAGGTGGAAAACAGGACTGCTCTAAGTTCACTAACCCCCGGAAGCTACCGTACAGAACCGATGCATGTGACTGAATGAAAGGATTATTTTTGAAGTAGGTGGGAGGAAACTAATGACCAATTCATCTGTGTTTTGTGAACGTCAGATTGTGCTGAGTTTTAACAGTGGAGGCTCAATGCTGCCATGTTAAGTTTCTCATAGCAATATTTACTATTTATTAAATACAGTGCCTGTATTTACTTACGAAAATTGAGCTAGAGGTTTGAAGTAAAGGGTAGATTTTATTTATTTTTTTGTTGTTTTTTGAGACAGGAACTTGTCTGGAACTTGCTCTGTAGACCAGGTTGGCCTTGAATTCAGAGATCCACCTGCCTCTGCCTTTGAGTACTGGCAGTAAAGGGGTGCACCACCTCAGCCTAACCGCAAACTTTTTTTTTAAGGTAGCATTTGCATCTGGGAGGCAGAGGCAGGTGGATCTCTGAGTTCACGACCAGCCTCGTCTACAGAGTGAGTTCTAGGGCAGCCAGGGCTACACAGAGAAATCCTGTCTCAAAACACAAACTAACAAACAAACAAAAGTAGCATTTACAGAGACGGAGTGAGAAGGGAGCGCAAACACGTGACTGATGTGATTATCAAAACCACATTTCTCAAGAGAGGTTAGCAACGTGTAAGAAAACCCTCAAAAATGTCTATGCCCTTTGGCTTCTCCTAGGAAAATAGTCTGAAATGTACACACTTGTACACAAATGTGGACTTGTGTACTGTTTGTGCAGCAGCTTTTGACAGCAGCATTATATATAATATAATATAATATAATATAATATAATATAATATAGTAGCATATGTATCAGGAGTCCTAGTTCCATCACCAGGGAAGAAAGGTGGTCTCAGAGAAACGATTTCATTCTAGGCTTTCTTCTGCCTTAGGTCTTTCTTTCGAATAGTCAGAATCTCTTTAGAATTAACAACTTTCTCTCCATATTATACTTAAACAATCACTATTATAAGCAAAGGCAACTTTATAGTTATTAAATATTAGAAACAACAATATGGAGTTTGATAGAAAAATGAGGGTTACAGCCAACATTGTGGGAGCTGACCATGCCACTAAGTTAGGATGTAGTAATAGGTCTATGGCTGCCTGAGGTACAGAGGGAAAATGATTACACAAGTGTGTAAGGGAACTTTCTGGAGTTACAGAAATGTTTTATATTTTCATTAGAGTCAAGTTTAAGATGAATATATTTTGTTGTATTAAGTTATCCTGAAAAAAAATCAGGGGATAGCCAGGTGGTGGTGCACACCTTTAATCCCTGCTGAGGCAGGTGAATCTCTGTGAGTGAGTTTGAGACCAGCCTGGTCTACAAAGTGAGTTCCAGGATAGCCAAGGCTGTTACATAGAGAAAAAAAAATCAGGGTATAGTTTAAAATTTTGAGTTGAATGTTTATCATATGGAGGTAAACTAGAAGAAAGAATTCATAAATACTGATGGTAGTCATTGCTGGGCATGGATCTGTATTTCCTTATACATTTTCTGCTGCTATAATGATTTAAAAACAACATTCATGTATGTTTTACATGAACACAGCATTTCATATGGTAATTCAAAGACATCTGCAGTACAATTCTCCAAAGCAAAAAAAAAAAAAAAAAAAAAAAAGTCCGAGGGACTTTGCCTGGATTGGATTCTCCTCAAAAATAAATAACTCTCTGAGGTAAGATTACAATTTCTACTATTTACTAAGGAAAAATAATGGCCAAGGGGAACCAAAGGCAGCCATGAGAGTTTTGGTTGCCGACGCTCATTAAACAGTCCATTTAGCAACAATTATTTTGGGCAACCTCACACATGGCTTTCCTAACTTACCGTGTGAATGAGATGGGTGCCCACTCACAACTGAGGCGGCAGCACCTCCCTCCAACTGCTGAATTTTTTCTGACAAAATCACGTTTTCCTCCAGCACTTTGACCAGTTTTTGCTTCAAATTTTCCTTTAGACAAGAAAACAACACACCAACGTGTTAAGAATCTGAATTTTTAGTAGTGGCATTTCCTCTTGTGACAGACTGAATGGAAAGGTGCAGCTATGAGCCCTCACTAGAAATTCAGTTCATGGGGAAACACAGTTCTAGGGCAGTATTTAAACTGATCAAATGTAATCTCAACTTTTTTTTTGTTTTTTGAGACAGGGTTTCTCTGTGTAACAGTCTGGGCTCTCTGGAACTCACTCCATAGAACAAGCTGACCTTGAACTCACAGAGATCTGCCTGCCTCTGCCTCCTGAGTGCTGGGATTTAAAAGTGAGCACCACCACCTTCTGGCCTATCTTTCTTGCTGGTAATCTGCAATTCTTGCTGAACACTGGTAGGTTTGCAAGGGGCTGGCATTCTATGTCATCAACTGAAGTTTCTAGAACATGGGTCTGAAAATTCACTGAAGCTAAGAAAAGGGAAACTTTAAAGAGTTTCTTCCATCCTCTCCCGAATCCAGCAGCCAGATACTCAAATATGGTGCTGGTCCTAGACTCTCTGCTCCATCAGAAGGGAGAACGATGACATTTGCCTTCCATCACTGGGATCACACCATGGGGATCACACCATGGCCTTCAACAGGGTGATGCTATACACTTTTACCCTAGAATTTTTGTCTGCTTCCCCTCCTCGCCCTTTCAAGTTTCTTTAGGACTTTGGGATTTGGACTAGGATGAAGGAGTCACCCCTGAAGAGCCTGCATGCTGTTCCCATCCTAACAAGTTCTGTATTCTTGATTGTTCTGCCTTACTTTTTCACATTTTGGTTCTGGAGTTTCTAAATGTCTACAGCAATTATGCTCCTTGGGGCCCTGAGTCATTCTAGTCAGGATGTTGTCTTTTCTTGTGAAGGAAGAGGAGGAGAAAAAGATGAGGGGGCCATACCACATCGTTAGGAACAAGCAGCTGCTCCACTTCCTTTAGCTCACTCTCCCTCCAGCGGAAGGCTTTCCCTGCCTTGTCTTCAAGCTGGGAGCGATACTGCTGAGGAGGTGCAGGCACAACCAAAGACAGAAGCAAATCTCTGGCAGGACCTGCCAAAAATTCAGGTTGGGCACATGGGCCAATCTTAAAAACTAAAGCACAGAATTTCAAGTCAGTAACGGCCAGCTCTGTATCTAAACATCGCCTTTTGACATGAGTTTTAAGTGGCTGTAAGAGGCGTTGTGCCCGAATCCTTTGTGGAGGATACGTCACTGCCCTTCCTGTTTGCACTAGCCCAGAGATACTGCTCCGGGTGTGTGGGAGGGGTGATTTCCTACAAAATGGCAACAATGGGTCAACATAGGAAGGAAGGCTGATTCTTTCTCCTCTATGTGCCTTTAGAATTAAAAAATTACCATATTAATTATTTATAATAATGAGTTTATCATGACAATTATATATATACATTTTATTATATTCATACACATATTAATTACCCTCTCTTGTCCTTGTCCCATTTAATTTTTTAATTAAATAATTTAGTGTGGGGGCTGGAGAGATGGCTCAGCAGTTAAGAATATTTGTTGTTCTTTTTTATTTATTATTTATTTTTTTCCATTCAATTATTTACACTTCCTTCCCTCCTCCCAATCCCCTCCTGCTCCCCCACACCCCCTCCTCCTTTTCCCACCCTGCTTGAGAGAGGGCAGGGAACCCCACCCTGTGGGAAGACCAAGGCCCTCCGCCCCCTACGTCCAGGCCTAGGTTCACCCTCCTCAGAGCAACGGACTGAGCTCCCAAGGTCCAGTTGAAGGGCAGAAGGAGGGAGAAGACGAGCAAGGAAGTCAGGATCGCGAGGGGTTGGTCCACCAACTGAGGCAGTGTGCCTGTTCTAATGGGAGCTCACCAAATCCAGCTGGACTGGGTCTGAATGAGCATGTGATCAAACCGGATTGTGGCTGACAATGGAGGCTGACTGAAAAGCCATTGATAAAGGCACTGGGACTTGTTTTTACAGCATATTCTGGCTTTTTGGGACCCTAGTCTATATGTATTTGTTGTTCTTGCAGAAGACCAGAGTTCAGTTTTCAGCACCCAAGTCAGGTGGTTCACAGCCTCATGTAACTCCAGCTTCAGGGCATCTGACACTCTCTCTGGCCTCTGGGCACTTACATACACATGCATATACCAGGTACACACAACTGAAACTAAGGTCTTTAAGGAAATGGGATGTGACTAGTGCAAGCTAGGCAGGTGTTCTATCACTGGGCTAGATACCCTCAGGCCTTATAAATTAAAAATATTTTTTACAACACAAACAACTTTCAAGGTTCTCATTTTTACTTAAAGCTTTACTAACAAGCAAAAGTTCCTTGAATTTTTCCTCCATTAAACAACAAATAAACACCTAGAACCAACAGTCATAAAACTATTTGCCCCATGTCCCTAAAAGGTATTCCCTAAAAGGGGCCCAAGGCATTTACTCATTTCATTATTTTACATTACCATTTCAATAGTCTTTGCAAAATTCTGATAATCAAACCTAATTTCTGCTGTATCCATTACTGGCACTTTCAAAGAACCATAACATAATTTTGCAATTACATATATCTGATCAAGCAGTATATTAGCAAAGATGACACATGAGCACACACAAGCACCATAGGAAGAGGAAAACAATTGCTACAAAACAATTTGCAAAATGATTTTAAAAAAAAAATAGGGAAGACAAATGTAACAAAATAAAAATTTGGTCCAGCGGTGGTGGCGCACGCCTTTAATCCCAGCACTTGGGAGGCAGAGGCAGGCAGATCTCTGGGAGTTCGAGGCTAGTCTGGTCTACAAGAGCTAGTTCTGGGACTGGCTTCAAAGTCACAGAGAAACCTTGTCTCATAAAAAAAAAAAAAGAATTTTAGAGGCCGGGAGGTGGTGGCACACATCTTTAATACCAGCACTTGGGAGGCAGAGGCAGGCGGATCTTTGTGAGTTTGAGGCCAACCTGATCTACAAGAGCTAGTTCGGGACAGGCTCCAAAGCTACAGAAACCCTGTATCGAAAAACAAAACAAAACAAAAGAAGAAGAAGAAGAGGAAGAAGAAGAAGAAGAAGAAGAAGAAGAAGAAGAAGAAGAAGAAGA